TTTACATTCTTTTTTGCTCTTCTTTGTGGTGCCTCTAACGCTTCTAGGTCGCGCTTCAACCAAGGTTGCCAAGCTTGGAGAGCGTATTCAACAAGCGGCCGCACATAGGAATTGTGCATCATTGGGAAAATTGATAGGTCAAATCTCCCGAATGCTCTACGTAGCATACAGAAGTGCTGGTTGCCTCTTTTCGTAGCTACCTCAGCCTGTTTTGAACAGTTGAGGTCGCTCTGTACGATCACACCAAGATCACGTTCCTGGGAGCTGGTCTGCAATCCGTTTGTCCCAAGTAAATAGATATAGTTATGTCTATGCTTAATAGTACAACGCGACATTTGTCTACGTTGAATGGTAGGGTGTTTTGAACTGACCAGTTCGACACAGTGTTAAGATCGCACTGGAGCCGTTCGTGGTCGTCCGGTCCTCTGATCCTTCGACATATCTTGCTATCATCAGCGAAAAATAGGAAACAGAAGTAATTGTTCACGTAAAATAGTTAATGAGTACCAAGAATAGACGAGGTCCAAGAAGCAAGCCTTATGGTACTACACACACCACATCGATTTCATCAGACAGTGATTCGGACTCACACCACTAACTGTCGTTCTTGTAGAAAAGTGTGTTAATCCAACTCAGGATTGGGTCGCCAATGCCGTAGTTCCGAAGCTCCTGAAGGAGAATTCGATGGTCTAAGCGATCAAACGCGTTTGAAAAGTCCAGATAGATGACATCGACTCCTACTCCATCACCAACAGTTTCAGTCCAGCTATTACGTGCAATTAATAGGTTAGTATTACACGAATGCTTCTGACGAAAGCCATGTTGCTCTAAAGCTATTAAGTTGTGGCTTTCCAGACACTGTATCAGCGCATCTGCGATGATTGATTCCATCAATTGGGATAGTAGGGGAAGTAGTGTTATTGGACGGTAGTTGGCAGGATCAGTGCGGCTACCTCCTTTATGGATAAGACTGATGACTCTTCGCTTCCATATTGGTGGAATACGGTTCTCTTCTAGACATCGCTGATAGGAAACAGCCAGTGGTTCTGCTAGATCACTAGCTATCTCCTGCAGAGCCTTTGGTCGGATGTTGTCGGCTCCGGGAGAACTGTGGATACTGAAGGATAACAACTTATTCAACACAGATTCCGCAGTGAAGGTGATGTTGTCCGAACCGGATGATAGAGAATCAGAAATGAGGAGAATGTTTGGGCTCGTTACCTGCTGGAAAGTTAGAGAGTAATTAAGCTGTAGGAGATCAGCTGCTTCCATTGCTGACCGCGTGCACCCATCAGCCGTGACTAGTGCTGGAACCCCCGCTTCACCTTTCGAAGACCGTTAACGTGCCTGTACAGAAGTTTGCGGTTCGTGCAGAATCGCCTCATTAACTCCTGCTGATGAGTGACCTTGTCTTCGCGGATCAGTTTCACACGGAAGTTACGATGTGTCATGTATGCAGCCCAGGTTTTGGCATTCAAGCAGTCCTGGTGATCGCACCATGCCAAATCCCTCCGGGACATACATTTACGTGTTCCGCTCCTCAGAAATGAATTATGCTTGTTTTGGGGTTGGGAGGACTTCTCTTCCGATGCGTGCGCCACCAGTGTGCTAAACGTCCTTGTAAAGATTTCCCAGGCAACATTTGGGGGGCAGTCGGTTAAGAAAGACAAAGATGCATCATTAACAAGCCTAGATAACACGTTGTGGTGCGTGACAGTATGCACTTTATCATCCTCCTTTTCAGGGTACTCGGCATAGCATATATAGTCAAGGAGTAGAGTAACATGATTACTACGACCCAGTGGTGTGCTTGTAACTTTCCCGTCAACCATGAGTTCTTCGTTAGTTAGCACAAGATCCAGTATCCACGGCTTGTTAGCAATTCGAAATCTGGTGGGAGAGGTTACGTAGTTGTACAGCGGTGGCTAGCAATTAGCTCTTGCAAGCAGGCTTTAAACTGAGTACCGTCGGTTGCCGGCGTTTCTATGTCGTGCATGTTAAAGTCTCCAGCGATAAGACTGTGGGTGTAGGACTTGTGCAAAGCAAACTGAAAACGTGGTTCAGTTTGGAGTTCATTTCCGACGTTGAGTTTAGTGGGCGATAAATCACGGCTAGTAAACATGTGTCTTTGTTTCGCAACCATAGGCGGCACCAAAACGAATCAGGAGCTCAGATTTCCGGGTGATCGATAACTTCACATTGCAGTTTTGTATTATAATAAAGAAGCACACCGCAACCCCTTCCGGTTCTATCGGTCCGAAGCAACGACATACCGGGTAAATTGATCTCAGAATCGGTTATCTCAAGGTTTAACCAGGTCACTGTAATCATGACGAGGTCCCGCGGTTGTGAGACATGGAGTTCTCTAAGTTCGGCCAACTTACTTAGAAGGCCTTGGCCGCTTGTGTACATGCAAGATATAGCTTTTGTTGTTAGGAATGCGTTGACGGATGTCAACTTTGTGTTAGTTTGTAAGCCGGCCGTTAGGTGACCGGCCACAAAGCGTTTTTTAGTTTATGAATTTCAGTCAAGTTGCATGGCATTACTGAGCGTTCCTGAACAGACGTTTCACTGATGCTGTGCTCTGTCCTGTTGTGTGCCGTTGGCGCTGTTGTGTCGGTCTCTCCTCAGGACTGTGCAAATAAAGAATTTGCAGCGTTTGCAAGTTCCATCGAATTGCTTCCGACTTTTGGCCGTTCGCCTGCTGCCTTTAGCCAGATATCTGTTGGCAACCTAGCTCGAAACTTTAACCAGCTGTCCAACAGAACTTGCGTCGTGCCGTCGGAGTGTAGTATTACTTTCATTAGCCTTGGACCGCAGCCCTTGTACTTAAGTGATGACGGAACTCTTGTCAGGGATTTGGCAATAACATTGTCTACAGAGAGTGCTTCGCGAATGTACCACCACTGCTCTCGGTCATGTGTTTGCGCACCGTGATCAGAAGAGTGCAGAAGTTCGGGAACACCATGAACAAATATTGTTTTCTTGCTATCCCTATTAGGAATGCCGCGTTGCTCAGCGGCTTCCTTAGGGCGATCTTTCCAAGGTAGATCAGGTAAAATGCGCACCCCGCTTGGTGAGTTGCGAACATGAACTGCTGAGAGCAGGACAGCAGCTGTCTCATCTGCTGAGTCTAGTGTTACTCGAAGAATTCGAGGTTCACCAGAGTGCACTGAGGTCGGGTGACGCGCTACGCGTTGCAGCATTGCAGGCTCAACCCGAATACCAACCGCCTCGCAGATGGAACTCCACTGGTGGCGATCCTCTTGCAACTTGCCTTTTATTGTGCCAGATTTGGATTCGGGAACATTGGTGCACAGGAGAGTAACGCAGCGAGAGTAAACGCAGCGAGTGTCGGCTTTATACTTTTTGCCGGCAATTTATGTTGTTTAGAAGGCAGCACTGGAGTTGACGGTGAAAGTTGTGGTGCGCCACGCGTGCTAGGTGCTGAACATGGGCCTATGTGTGTCGCTCCCGTTATGTTTGTCGAGGCAATCAATGCGTACGTTACCTGCTTGTTATCTGCACCGGATTGACTTGGGCTCTGAGCTGTCGGTGTCATTGCTGAATCTCTAAGTGAAACGTCTAGGGTTAGAGAAGTGGAAGCAAGCATGTTTGAGGCTTGTCCACCTATGGGTTTGAGGTTAGCCAGTGGATTTAGAGTCACAGACGCTGCAATTGGGATCTTGCCGATCGTGTTTCGGATGAAGCAAATTGTGCACTATTGCGTTGCTTAGAGACCACTACGCTGTCCTGGTGCACACTGTCTTCCAGTGAAATACTAGTAGTGTTCATTCGCTGTTCAATTTCTGCTGCTGACCGGTCGCACTGTTGGACCAGGATAAGCACACACTTGACTAATGCGAGAGTCAAAAGCAGTACAAAACCAGGAGACGTTTTGGGATCTGTTTCGATTACGCACTTCTCTTTGGGAAGGAGTTGCACAAATTAGGTGGCCCCATTCGGAACAGCGTGAGCTGATTAAACCAATGTAAATGACCGATTACATTCTGCCGACCCACATGAGCATACGCCATCACAGCACCTACGAACATCTGCTTAGAAAACACCTTTAGTAGCGGGTTCCTCAGATGAGCGATATTGGTGTGCTCTCGCTGGATGATGTCAGTGGTCAAGACATATGGAGAAGGCAGTGAAAAAGCCATCCAACAATTATGCCTACTACGGAGAGCGTTTGGTTAGTTTGATCCTGACGTTCTGTAGATGTTAAACGGGTACGTGAGATCACAAGTTAAATACGCTGTCAAGGTGTGGCAACGTTGGAAAAAATGTGACCACACTTATCTTGTGGAGCCACAAAGGAGGGCAACAAACAATTTTATTGGATTACTCTACCTCCCTAACCAACTGCGACTAAAGACCCTAGAGTATTTTAGTGAACAATATCGTCTTCTGCTTGGGGTCCGCCTATTTTTGTATCAGATCCTCGAGGATTCTAACCACCGATGCCGAGTCTTGTTGAGACTCAGCCAATACAGCTCACTGAGAGGTCGCCATTTGAAATTGGTAACACGGTGCAGTAAATTGGAATGCCGCTGTACACTTTTCTCCATTCGTATGTCCCAAGAGTGGAACCTACTTATGCATTCTGTCATATTCGCTCCTACGTTGGCTGATTTCATGCTGCCACTTGACGATGCATTACACGACCTACATCACCACATGATTTAACTTAAGTTACTGGGACACGGGGTAACATAACCAAATAGTGTGCATGTGAAAATTGGAGTGAGTCAACCATTAGGTGTTACCCTTTCTTGATACCTACGCCTTTACTCATTCTGAAACTGTCACAGAAGAATGCACTCCTGGCTGCTTCCTTTTTTCTCCAGTTCGAGTGCTCACCTAGCCATGCCGCCGTTCGTAGGAAAAACGGTCGCCAGCTACGGTACAATTTTTAAGTCTTCGGACCACATTGTATCTGTTGTTTGGAAACTTGCCACTTGTTGATGTCACGTCCATTTATCTATTGCTTACAGATGAACGTATGCGGAAAATGTTCTCTAAAACGCATCGTAATTTCCGGAAGGATCCATTCAGCAGAGTTTGGCTTCAGTGTAAGTTCTGGAAACTATTTTTTTTTCGTTGTTGATGCATCAGCTAACAAACCTCTAAGTAGCTGTTGTTATGTGAGACCATAATCATCATCAGCAATACACGTCATTCGAGGGTAAGAAACGCACCCCATCTAAAGTGCCACAATACAAAAAGATTAAACATGACAGACTACAAAAGCAAAGTAGTAACATGATGATAAGGCACATTATGCATTGGGTTAAGCTCGCTCTTGGAGTGGAAAGTTATAGGGTAAGAGATGGACATAAAGACTCACAGCACAGGCGTCATTGAGGTTGGCTCCTTGCCCTGTTCATATAGGACCACTAAATAAATAGCGTCGTTAATGTCTGACCGAATTAGTTTCATGTTATTTAAGGTAGCTGCAAAACAACCTCCCCATTCCGGTAGCTGTTAGAGGGGTTTGGAAAGTGACTATCCACAAACCTGATATACGAAACACCCAAACGTCCAAATGTCCTTTATATTCACCAAACTTTCATAGCAAAGCTTATTTAAGTGATATCTTTGATGAGCGGTTCAATTCAAGGGTAAGTCTGCACCACCGTGTTATCCAGTCTTAAACTCACATTATTTCCCTTGAAAACCACTGCGCATCGTGAGGATCGGTTGGAAAGCCAAACAACCAAGAAATGCGCCGACCAGGTAGAGTGAAATGCCGACACAGGCTACATTGGAAAAGAGGACAGACAACGATTTATGGATACGAGACTTTTTGATCAAGGCGACAAAGCTGATAACATAAGATGTAAAATAAAAGATGGCAGGCACATTAATCATTCCCTAAGAAAGATAATCTAACAGCTGGTCACAGCTTGGACCCACAATAATATATATATATATATATATATATATATATATATATATATATATATATATATATATATATATATACACGAACATTGAGTGGCTTGCAATGCGCCACCCACAGCTCCAAACGCACACCACATACCCAGTGTAAGCCCGAAGGAATAAAACCGGTAGGCATATGGATGGTAGCCACGTTTCATCAACGGAGCCGGCCCATACTCCTTCACAGGAAAACACAAGCACGCTGTAGTTGGGCAATCAAGCGCACACAAGACAGTGGATGGACCGTAGTCCGCTCCACACTAAGCGCATGTAGCGCACTTCAAGCCTAGCACGACCACAAGGACCGTGCGCCCCGTCCCCACCAGAAACGACCAACTGTCTCCTAGAGCCAGTATGGACGAGGTAGTGGTTGATAGACAGGTAGGCACCTTGTCAACCTGCACATCAAGCCCACTCACTTCGCGGATGTCAAACAAAAGCCAATCACTCAAAATGACCTTCTCAAATAAAATATATATGTTAAAGAATACCGCTATGCAAACATAACTCCACCGTAAGTTAGCATATGAAGTAAGTTGGTTATCGACGAATCCGCGATAAGTACAAAATGTCCACAGGTTACACAAAACTGATACAAACACAAGAAAGATAAGAAACATGACCACAATTAGCGTAAGCGACGCAGCCAGTTAATAGCAGATCATACAAGTAGGCAGAATAATGAAATTAATGGAATAAAATTTTTCCAGCCTAAAATGACCCAGTTTAACTGTTAGTTGGTTTAGCCCAACTGCCGTGGGGAAGCACCATGAATGCAACATCAGCCTTAGCATGGGACACAACATATGAGCATATGAAATAAATTGGTTGCAACAAAATCCGCGAAAATTTTCAATACATCAAAAAATATGTCTTAAGAAAATGCCACAACCTCGAGAATGGTATCGAAGTTAACTACAATTAGTTTCAGCGACGTGTGCAAGTTTACAGCAGATAGTACAGGTGGATATTAATAAGAGATAAAAAAGCACTTGGACAATATAGCAAACCCATCACTTGAAATAAAGTGACGCTGCATGTAAGCAAGCAGTTAGTAAATCGAATGGAGCGTATCTACAAACCCTGCGCCGTTTCTCTGCAGGACCAGTCTCCGCTTCGGTGGTGGTCCCGAGTGGGGTCGCTCATGGCTCACTAGGCTTGGCTGACTCAGGCACTTGTCATCGCAGGTGTGACAGCACCATGTGCCCGAAGTCCATGGAGCACAACCCATCACCGTTTGTCGCTTCCGCAATTGCCGCTTCTCCTCTGCATGCACGAGGGATTTCTCCTGCACCTCGGCAACGGCCTTCGTGCTCATTTCGCGCTATGCGCGAGGATCAACCGCTTTCGATTCCAATGATCTACAAACGACCGTAAAACCTGATGGACCCATTCTGATCATGTCCTGGCAAGGAAGCTTCATTTTCCACACATGCCGCTTCCCAACACTCAGTTGACTATATAATAGCTGCTTCGGCATCCGCGTCTAATCCATACGGCTCACATGACCGAGCCACCTCAAGTGTCTCAGTAAAAGTATGCAGTCCACTGCATACAGTCCACTTTGTCGCAACACTTCCGTGTTAGCAACTCTGTCGCCCCAACCGACGCACAGACTCCGGCACAAACACTGTTGCTGGAATCGCTCAAGATATCACACATGGCGCCGGTACATCGTCCACGTTTCACTGACCTATAGGAGAACGGACAGCAGCATGGATTTGCAGACCATCAGCTTCGTGCCGGCGGTAAGCTGATGGTTGTTCCACACTGGGTACTCAAGCTTCTCGAAAGCCGCCGCTGCCTTCGACATGCGGATACGCAGCTCACTGTGTATCAGTTGGTCAGTCGAAATCACACTCCCAAGGTAGCAGAAGTGGGAGGTGGTTTCAAATATTTTAGCGCCAAAGATGATTCGCGGCAATTTTGAAGATTGCACCTCTGGTGATGTCTAAAAGAGACAGACAGTTTTGCTTGGGCTGATGGTGAGCCCGAATTTGCCCTCTGTCAAAGCCAGAGCACTAGTCATGTGCTGCAACTCATCCGCACTGCGCGCGAACAACGCACAGTCGTCAACAAACAGCAACCTCCGGATAGTTGTCTCACAGACTAGGGTTCTCGCACTGAAACGACGGATGTTCAGCAACCCACCAACAACACGGTGCTCCACAAGAACACCGTAAGCACAAGCGACATGAAACGCACAAGGCATCAGGCCATGAAGATAAATATTAAGTAGGGCAGGAGCTAAGACACAGCCTTGCATCACCCTAGCAATAACTGCAAAATCATCCGAGGTCTGTCCACTCAGCTGCATCCTCGTCTGCATACCACTGTGCAGACATTCAATTATACTTAAAAATTACGCTTGTAACCAAACTTTCCCAACACCAGCCACTGTATCAAAGTTCTAGCTGAAATCAACAAAAGCGAGTACAACGGCTGGTGTCATTCTCTACACTTCTCCTGCAACTGTCGAGCCGCAAACTATTTCTATAGTGCTGCGACCCGAGCAGAATCCATACTGCTCTTCCGAGATGTTCGGTTCAACAACCTGACTGACGAGGCGGTTGAGCAGGATTCCGGCAATCAGCTTACCCACACAACTCAGCAAGTTGATGTCACGATAATTCGTGCAACATTTCTTGCTTCCTTTACCCTTGTACAGTGGTACTTCAAGTGCATCTTTCAGATCAGGTGGCACCTGCTCCTAAACCCACTCATGTTGCACCAAGGGGTGCAGAGCAGTCACCAACGCGGGTCCGCCGTGTTTCAGGCGAGATCCCGTCGGTACGGGCACACCTGACTTTTCGCAGCTGAGCAAGTGCTCTCTGCGTCTCATCCACTGGCGGCGTGTCCGCCAGACTCGTCTTCACATCGTGCTGCTTCAGGCCATTCAATGTAGGCCAGTTGACCTTTGAATGGTTGTTCAAGAGACAGCCAACGTGTTTTTGCCAAGTCTGCATTATGTCTGCAGTCTGTATGCAGGTAGCTCCTGAACTACCATCTACCAGTGTCCGCAGCGTCTCCAATCTCGGTCCATACACCGCCAACAAAGAGTCAAAGAATTCATTGTGTTGGCCACGTAAGGCATAGCATTCCATCTGCTTAGCCTTGTTCGTCCACCATGCCGGTTTAATGTGAGTGAGCTCTCGAGTCAGTCGCCGTCGAACTCGCCCAAATTATCTCTTCTTCCCCAACTTATTGGGATCTGCCACATGTGCAGCAAATGCTGCGCTCTTCCCCGACACCAATGCGCCAATCGCCGCATTGTTCTCATCAAAACAATCAGACCTCTTACAGTTTGCGCGCCCGATGGTCTCCGCCGCAGCAGTAGTCAACTAGTCACGAATGTGGTGCCACAGGTCGCCCACTGCAGCTCTGCATTCCACATCACACAGTCGTGCAACCATCACCTTCTCTAGCTCAATACTTTTCGCAACAGTACCGAGGGAGAATATGTGCAATTTACGCCTTCGATTCAAGGCAGGATTGTGCTACATAGATTTATGAATAGGGGGTCTTCACTTTACGAAGCTTGTTAGGATGCCTATACGGCAGCTTGCTGTTTGCCAGAAATTTTTTGGCTAGGTACTGTTGATAAGTGACTTTGTCATCACAGACAAGTGCAGTGCAATGATTGCGATGGGTCAGAAAATTACCCCAAGTCTGAGTTGAGGTTAACCTTGTACTCACGCCATGCTGCAGCTCTTATCGCCATGTACTTTTGAGTCCTGATACTTAAAATCGAAAACATTTTGCAATACGAAGGGGATGGTCTCTGATGATCTGTTGAGGATGTTGCTGACTCTTTACACGAACCCTGTCCAAGCGTTGTCAAGAGGACTGTTATTTGAGAGTTCCTAAACAGATGCGTAGACGCGTTCTTTCAATCCGTGGTAGCGTGTGATTGTATGAGTTAGTTCCGAGTATTTTAGCTAGACACTCTGCATAACACACATAGTTGAACGCCATTACTACATGGTCGCTGAGACCTAATGGACTCTCCATCAACAACTTGCCAAGCATGAGCTCTTCATTCGTGAGCACAAGATCCAATATGGACGGTTTGTTTGCTGTCCTGAATCTAGTGGGAGTGGTGACATGTTTGTACAAGGGATTAACGATG